TTGTGAAGCACTGTAATGAAGAGCTTGAGAGGGAGCAGCTGCAGCTTATTCTAGCAGCCCTTGTTTGCCCCAGGGTTGGGAGAGGGTGACATTCCTTTTCCAAAGGTGCAGTGTTGATCATCTCCAAGGTATTGATGAATTGAGATGGATTTCAGCCCAGGTATTAGAAAACAATGAAAGACCCCAATCTGACTGCTGTCTGAAAGGAGTGTATGTCCTCCTGCCATAAACAGCTATCTGAAGGGAAAAAGAAGTTGTGAAAACATTTTAATGGCCTGGTCTTCTAGGGGAAAGAGGCTGATGTGACTTGCCTGTCTGTGTGTGTGTGCTCACATTTGTCTGTCTGTCCTCCCAGTTGTGTCTTTAGATCCACTTCAAACAAATTTGGGCATGTTTATACGTGCGATACGGGGTAGGTATGTGGAAAGCAGTGGGCCTCTGCTGTTCCACCCTTTGGAGCGTGAGCTAGCCACTAGCCTCAAGTCCTTCCCTACTGTTCCCACATGTGTATCGGTGAACAACAAAGCGTGTTAGACAGCGGGATTTGTTGACAGACCCCTTCTCCCCTCCACACCATTGCCTGGAGGTTAATCCAGCCCCCTAAGTGGAAAACTGTGATTAAAATCATTGCCCTTATTCAGATAGGGTGAGTTTGAACTCAGAGCCTCCTCTCTCTTAGGAGAGCATTCTAAGCACTCTACTATGAATTTTGGGGTATAGGTATCCCTTGCTGTGGCATGACACAGCAAAATGGCACAAAAAAAATGAAGGGAGAGCCTACAGGGCAGAGCTGGTGCCTCAGGGTGAACTACTTAAGGCAGCTTCATGACTGATGGAGATGGGGTTTCCTGGAGTTCAGGGTGCCACAGGAGAGGAGGCTTTGTCTGCCCAAGAGATGCTCTCCTGGAGGTTTCCCCTACAGCACTTTTCCCTGCTGAGTGTTTGTGGAGTGCTACCACAGTTTAGACAGTAGTTTCCAAAGGAGCATAAGGGAATTAGTCCTTTGATCCCACTGAATTTCAACAGTGTCAGGGGCCCTCCTAGAGGCTCCCTGAAAGCCCCTTTTAAGGATGCCACATCCTAGCAACAGCAAAAGCAACCATCAGTCTGATCTCAGGAACAGACTGGCTTGTTGACACATCAGTGAAAAGCAGCTTCAACACAGTCTGTTCACCCTGCGGCTGCCAGTTCGGCTGCCGCTCTGAGTGTTTGATCTAGCAAAGGCTCCAGCCCAGAAAAACAAAGCGCGGTGTTTCTAGTTCCCAGCTTAGGGAGCTCCTTGCCCCTCGTGCTGTTTCTCTGCTACCAAAAGCCCAAATGCCATTCTTCAATGTTTCCTAGTTTGGTTCATCCTCAACCAAAGTCACATTCCGTTAAGCTGTACACCAGCTGTAGCTTTCTCTTTAGACCGCTTGCGCTGCAGCGTTTCACCCCCTTATTACCCCTGTGCTACTACACTTGGCTGCCGCTAACTGCCTGTTTAACACAGGCAGGTGAACCAGCACCGCTGTCCCAGGGCTCTAGCGGTGCTTCCCTGGGTATCCCAAGGGAGGGGATTACAAATGACACTGGAAGAGTGCCTGATGCTGTGCCACCACCATGACACGACGAAATGCACAGAGAGAAGGGACTACAGATTACAGTTTTTTGTAATTAAAAAAACCTCGCATGGAAAAAAGTAACACTGTCAACAACGCTATTAGGGAGCTGGTGAAGCTAATCTGCATTGCAGTGATGCTGTCTGACCCAGACGCTCATCCAAGTGAAGCTCATTTGTGCTCCAGACATTTCAGAGCTAAAATGAGCTGAGGGATGCATCTTCCCCCCCAAAATTTAGGTTGCCCCACCAGGTCTGGTTAGAGATAGATTTGTCTGGTGGAGTGAGTCTCGTACAATACTCAGCATACAGGCACTGAAAAGGATTTAGTTTGTTGGGGAGACTTTGATGTGGGAGATGAGAGAAGTTTTCCTGGTGAAAGACGGGTTTGCAGGGCTTGTTCCCTCTCTCTGGTTCTCCCTGCCTTTGATGGGGCAGGGAGTCCCGCGTAGTCCCTCTTGGACACTTATATTTGAAAAGGAGAACAAAAAGGGGATTAGGGGATGTTACCACTTTCATTTTGTAATTGGAAGGGAGTCTTAATATATTCATTATCCACTCACAGCTGATGCTATGCCATCTAACAGCACTGAAATTGCAGGATGACAATTATACCACTGATGGCATAATTTATTGTTTTTTCGTTACCCAAGGTAATTCCAGTGAGGTAATAAATCTACATGTCAGTAAGAAAATACTCAGTTTACCAGCTGTGCTGTATTTTATAGCCATGGGTTTAACGCTTTGAGAGGAACGTTTCCTCAGCATCGCTTTGCAATTAGAGGCAAAGAGGAAATTAAATGTTCCATTTTTGTTACCAAAATAAAAGATATGTTTCTCATAAGTTGTCTTTCTGTTAATATTGCATAACTCAGTGTCTTTGCCTTTTGTTTGCTCATCAGCTCAGCCCAAAGATGGCATTGAAATACCAAACTGGAACTCTGCTCCATCAAGAAACCTTAGCCTTTCAATGATGGTGTCAGGACAGTGCCAGGACTGTTTCAGCCCTTTGTTTACTGACTCAAGGAACATTGCCCAGAGCCTTGGATACATGGAGAATCATGGACGGACACGTTCTGCTTATGAGGACTACCAAAAGTCTGCATCCAGGTACAGGCACAGCTGGGGCTTTCCTTCAGGTTATTTTTGTAGGGAATGGTGTTTGGTGCAGTATCTCCTTTAGAGGAGCTGCGAAATGCAAGCAAACCCTTAATAAGAGGCTGAGTCGTTATCCAGAAGCGTAAGGGAGAACATAAAAAGCTTTGAAATGTAACGATCTCACATTGCTTTAGGGACAGCTGCCCCCAAATTGGACTTCACCCTCAGAAAGGGTAAATCACTCTTCATTCACCATGTCCCTTTCAATGTTAGTTAATGCATTCTGCCTAGGGCTTCAAAGACACCTCCCTTGTGAATGCAGTCCAAAAAAGGACCAGAAACACTGTATCTCATAGCTGGTTTGGCCTTGTCTTCAACTGATCGCACCCAGTTTTGAATCCAAGAGTAGAACTGATATTGTGGGGGACTTCAGAGGGTCCCACCATGTGGGCTGCATGAAGCTATTTGAGGCAGTGACAGGCAGCCAAAGGAATGAACTGGGCTGCATAAGGTTTACACCTGCCTAGAAATCCCATTAAAAAAATAAAGTATTGTCTCCTGGAGAAGCTAGTTGTCCCCAAAAGGCATTTGCCATCTTTAATTTAGCTTCACATATACTAAAGGTGGGAAAGACTTATCAAAACAGATTCTCAGCTGGTTTCAGTTATCTTGGATCTGTCTCCTTCAGAGAAATGACAATTGACATCTCCAGTTTTAAGGCTAGCCCCTGTGTGGACACTGTCTCCTACAGACTGTTTCCTACTGCGTTCTTCAGTGGATAGGCCTGCACATGCTTACTGCTAAGACTGCTTTCACAATACTCAACCTACATTTCTCCTTTTATAATGATATTTCATTGGTGATAGTTCAGCTGCATAAAGCCTTTGCCTTTTGGGGATTTTCCACCCACCTGCCATACCCGTTTTGGTTACACATGTCCCTGTGATTAACTGTTGAAGACAAGCATTTTAGCTCTTTTATTCCGCCCCCCCCCCAAATTAGCTCCTGGATCCCTCATTATTTTTATACCCTTCTATAATGCCTTGATAATCGTCAATATTTTTCTGGTGATGAGACATCCTAAAATGGACCCAATACATTTTATTCTGGTCTCATGCCAGCCTAAATCCAGAGTTTCTAGCAGAGTAGTACTTAAAACAAAACAAAGCATCATGGATGAGGCCGCATGTTTGGTGCCTCAGGCCAAGATGTGAGGAGTGGATGAACTCTATGTTGCCTGTATTAGAAGTGGAAGAACTCTGTTTACCTGCATTTACTCCTAGGAGGAACTAGGAGGAATTTTCTTGTAGTCAGTGAAGCCTGGTCACACCAGGCACTGGTGCATGTGAACATCAGGATCAGTATTTCCAGCTTCCCCTCTCCACAGCTGCACAAAGGGAATCTTCTGCTCCATGCTCCCTACTCTGCAAGGACAGTGCCATCAAATTGTAACAGCCTTTTTTGTTCTGTTAAATTGCAAATGCATCATTGGCTTCCTCCTAGACTTCTTTCAGCATTATTGCTCTCCATGCTTTTCCCTCCAGTGAATGCTATTTCCCCCCTGATAAATTAGTGTACCATTTTCCAAGAGCTGCATCTCACTTATTTCCTGGCCATATTTCTAAGCTCTCTAGGGCTCTTTGTATTCTTTCTCTTGCTCTCATTTGTGTTCCCTTACCCTTTCCTCTCAACTTAATGTTATCTACATATTTTATTAACCAGCTGTTTTATTCCCCTTCGCACATCACAAGTGGAGATGCTCCGTGAAATGAGAGCTACTGGTTGTCCCTATAGGGAACATATGAGACGCAACCCCCTTGTCTATTATTATTCCTTGTTTGCAGTCCTTCAGACAGTTCCTGTGACAGTATTTATGTCTAAGCCAATGGGAGATAATATTCTGAGGCTCTTTGATGCCTGCTGCTTTCCCTGCTCTCATTCATTTTGTAGTTCTGTCAACTTTATATGCATTTTTCTCATGGACTTAGTCTTTGTAAACCCATGGTGCTCCTTGCATATGTTTCCATAAAGAGATCTGTGTAATTCTCGGGACATTATAGGGAAAGCCATGAAAAGATACCTTTGAAAGCCAGCACGAAAGCTCCAGGTGTGATCAGAGCTCTAAAGCTGTTTCCAAATAATGAGATATGCCATACTGTTTGACTGGGCTTGGGGAGAATAACTCTAGATAAACATTAGGAGATAAAAGAGATCACCTTCCTCTTTATGCATTTCCTTGTATTGTGTGAACTGTTTTCCAGTGGGGATTGAATCACATCTTGTCTCATATAGAAAGCAAAAGAAGTCATTAGCTCTGCTAATTGTTGAAGATAAAAAGGTGATGACAGTTTGCTTTGTGTGTGGTTAAACTTGTTAAGTGCATAAATTAAGCAATTCTTTTAATTCTCATTTGATTCATTACTATTATGGTATTCCACCATGCCAGCACACTAGCATGGTGGAATATTTTTTTTTTACTCCACTCAGTTTGAATTTAAAGTATACCTTTTCTTGTTATACACATTAAGTAAATAAAATTACATTGAGTACCCAATACCTAATGTTTTAATTTGGTATCACATTATATAACATCCTTTGAGTGTACACAGTGTGAACACATAGTTTAGTAATACTTCTATAGAAAGCTGATGAGTAGTATGACTTGATCTGATTTGTTGTGAAGCCACAGTACAAGTATACACAAACTTAGTAGAAATGCGTGGTTTTGGCCAACTAGGATATCTGGGGTTTTTTGTTTATAATCGAGTTTAATTTAAATCCATTTGCTTTTGAGAATATGTGGACATACTTAAAGCACCTTGTAGGTTATATGTTTCATTAGATTTAATTAGATTGTTAATGAATGTCATATTGAGAAATGGATGGGAGTTGAGGCATTGGGATTTTCAGCTGCATCAGGATTTTCAGCTATCAGCTGTGTGCAAGGAGGGTGATAGTATTGTCACACGTGTCCTGGCACTGATGCTTAGAGACAGCCATTGTGTGTGTCTTCAATATGAATGTCACCCTAAACCTTTCCCTGACTTTTGCACCTGAGCAGTGTTAAATCTGCTGTATTTTGGCGTGACTGTTTTGCAAGAAAACAAGAAAAATAGACACTGATACTTGAAATTTTGTGCATGGCTATTGAAAATCATCAATATCTATTTTGTACTAAGTGCAAGTGCGCTACGTACTGAAGATGAGTGAAGTTTAATCCCCGATCTGTAAAGCACTTGGGATCTCAGCTGAACCTTGGCGTTTCAGGCCTATAGTTGCATACAGCTACTATGTATGCAACATTTCTCAGCCTTTCACAAAGAAAGATCTGAGCCTTCTCCCAGGACTTTTCCTGTTCTCTAGTATAGTTAAATCTGTTGGCATAAAAATAAATAGATTTGTACTTCTGGAGATAAGCCTTTCCCAACATAATAATAGTATCAGTCTGTGACTTTCTTTAAGACTTAAGAGCTTAGAAAGACTTGAATTCTTGGCATGTTTTCTAGTTAAAATGCCCTGTTTCTACCTCTACTGGCTCAGAGAGAAGCAGTTCAAATGGCGTCCTACTGGGGGGGGTTACAGGTCCATGGCTGATGCACCCTGTGCTCCTAAGAGCACTGACATTTTTTCCTCCCCTCAGTGTTATGTATGTTATAGAAAATTTGGGATTCTGTTCCACCAGTTAATATTAGCACATAGCAGAAGAAACTACAGCATCAACGCACACCAACCTCTCCCCCATGCACTTTAGCACTTTAGCTCCTGTCTCACAGGAGCTGGTCCAGTATTTTGAAAGGTAAACTAACTTGCTAAAAAAAGCTTTGAAGACGTCAGTGAACATCTCCTTAGAGATGTTATTCCCTCATTTAAACTCACAAAAGTCTGTTGCCATCCAGCAGCTAGCTGGCTGTACAAGTCCTTAGAGAAGTCCTGCAGGTCTCACTTTCCCCACCGGCTCCCTCCCTCATGTTACATGTAGGAATTTTGCATGGAACTGAGAACTGCATGTACACTTAGAGTGCAAAAAACAAATGGGTTTGGGGGAATTAGTTCAAAAGGTGCCTATACATTTGGGATTTTTAAGGTCGACGGTAGGAAGTGAGCAGGCTAAGGTCCAAATTCCCAGTGAGACATACATACAGGTCATTGTATTCATAAATTCAGAGTCTTGTTTGGCAGAAAATAGTATACCAGAACATGAATGCACAAAGCATAAATATTTTGTTATAGGATTCCTTAAAAATAATTGCTGGCAAAACAAGATTTCCAATACAAACAAATAATCTTATCTTTAGTCAGTCCTTTGCTAATTTAGTCACTCTCAATTTCATCAAATAGAGGCTATATCCCCAGAAATTCCTCCGACAAAGAGGTCTCCCAAAACCTGGAAGATTATCCAATTACAATTTAAAGAAACGTACAGCAAGGATGACTGACTAAAGATAGAAGTCTCTGAGGAAAAGAGCAGGAAAGACTGTGAGGGAGTGTGTGTGTGAGAGTGCTTCACTTTCTCTTGTAAGTAAAGTGAGGAGAATTATACCTGCGCTTAAGTTTTGTGGTAAGTGGAGTCAAGGTTCCTGGTGTTGGGTTTGGACCTGCCTGCTCTCCTTCATTTCTCCTTCCACTTCTCTCTTTTGCTATGTGCAGACCCCATGCCTATATGAAAAACTGACATTGATTCTTAAGGATTTTTTTTAGATTTACATGTGTTAACAAAAAAGGGGCTCTTAAGAGACTTAGAAGCTCTGTTTGGGCAGTACAGGCAGAGAATAAAGATCGCTGTTAATCCCAGGCTGAGTCAGGGGAGCGGTGGATGACTTTTTCACCTGCGAACAAAAGGGAGATGCCAGAGAGCCATCACCTTGGAAATCCCACCCAGAGCAGGATCATCAAGAGCTAACAGCTCCTCCTAGGCTCTTCTAGATAGTGGGAGCTGTCCACAGAAGGAGGCTGTATTTTCATGCCTGGAAGGAGAATTGCATGACGATGCATTCCCATCCCATGCCCATCAAAAGTACTGTGCTTTCTGAGCTGGCACAGGAGACTGTCCAACTGATTCAGAAGCATTTGAGATTGAAGGATGATCAAGCCCATTTACTCTTCTTTATCATTAACAGCTCTTCCTGATTCACCCTTAGGCACGGTTGAGCTAACCTTGCTGTTTAACCCTTGCAGCTTTGGATCTGACCTTTTCCTTCAGCCAGCATGGCTGTGAGGCAGTGTATTGCCTGGATGCAAGCTGGCAGCTCTGCGTTGCATGCTTCAGCAGCTTCCAACACCGAATTCCCGTGTCCTGTCATTTGCTCCTTTACCAGTCCTGTGCGTTGTATCAAAAATTCCTGTCAGCCCCATTTTATGTTCCCAAGTCTCCCTGGCTTCACTAGGTTCAACCTGAGGTCTTGTTTAGGGAAAGTCATGCTATCATAGACCCTCATTATTCACTCCATTATCAACCAGGATTCTGCTGTTTACAATGTTACATCATAAAAATGACCTTTTAAGAACATTTTAAGTGGTCTCTTTCCCCATCTGCTTTTTCCTGTCCTCCTCCTAGGTACATTTTGGCACCCAAAACTTTTCCTTCATTTTCCTTGCACAGATAGAGAGAAATGGGAGATCAGGAAGATCTTTGCCTTCCGTATGGTTTAAAAGTCTTCTCCCATTGACATAACTGGCTTTTACCCTTCCAGAGAGTAAAAATATCAGGGATTTCTCTTTGTTGCTGGTGTAATTCTATTTTTAGAGCCCAGTGGAGTCCTAGGCCACTGCTGGAGATCTGGGACTGTAGTGATGTAGAAAGCAACTGTGGATTTGAGTCACAGCATTTTACATCTGCGTGTGTACTGCATGTGTAAATGATGACTTACAAACCGAGGGATCCCAAAGGATCATTCTCTGCATCAGCAGTCTGCAAAGTGTTTCAGTGCAGCTGTCCATCCCTTCAGCTGCACCAATACAGCAGCTTGGAGAGACTGACAAAAAAGCTCAGGTTAAAATAATGTCCCCCCAAAACCTTTTACGCTGGGTTATTTCAGTGATCCAGCTTAGAACGTGTTCCTATGAGCAGGGAGGAAGGAGAAACGTGCCAAACTGTGGCAAGCAGATGAAAGCAAGCAGCCAGGAGAGGGGGAGAGTCTGAAGGTCAGGAGCCCCTCAGCCTGGCTGTGCTGCCAAAGCCCGTCCGAGGCTCTGCATCTCCGGTAAGCTGTCTTCCAGGTCTCTCCTTGCTGACGTGAAGCACAAACAGACCAGGACTGAGTGGGAGGAGGGTTGCTCCAGAGTTCCCAAAGTTTGCAGGAAGGCAGAGGAGAGGCAGCCAAGTGTTACATTCGCTATACACGTCTTCTCCAGCCCGGGGGGGCAGTTCCCCACGGCTCTGCTCTCAAATCTATCAATGCCAGCGGCAGCCTGGAGGCAGCCTGGCTGTCGTGAGCAAGTGTGACTCATTGCCACACCACACAGCTGAATTATTTGGGGTGGGTGGGCAGTATTTGTCACACTGTCGATGAGGATTTGGCTACGTTAAGCAAGCACATAGGCTGTCTGGACTGTTGGGTCAACCTTTACTATACACATAGAGGTCTATGACTTAAACTTACTGGGACAAGATGAATGTGGCAAGGGCAAAAGCATTATACGCACAGAAGACAGACAAGTAACTGCACAAGTGCTAAATAATGAAGTTTTTTGCAGTAGATGCGGCATCAAAAGCTGAATGATTCTTAGACTTCATTCACAACCTGTCTAAGATGACCTATGATGAGTATTACAGTCTGGGACCGAGTGTTTAAAAGTGCTCCCTTGACATGTGCACTACTTAAAGGAACACTCAAGTGATAAATTTGTTTTCCAGTGCTTAACGGAGATTGAGTGTTCCCCTGCTCACGCAAGAAGTCCCTGGTCTTACTGCAGATGCAGAACAGACCCTGCTTTGCTGTGGTTCTGAAAGAAGGGAGGGATGAAATCTCAGTCTTGTAGCATGGAGTCTTTCTGAGTTAATAATAAAGTGCTAACAATGAAAATTTGTCTTTCTCTAGGAAGGAAAAAACAATGAGAGGCAGGAGGAGAAAGCTGTACTGATGGACAGGAGGAATTTTCTAAACTTACGAAGGGAGTCAGCTACACAACTCCCACTAATTATGCTAGGCTAAATACCCAAGGCAGCCTTAAAGGTTGTAGCCTATATAGATTTAGAGAAACCCAAATTCAAATGGTATATGGATGACTTTTTGCCCCACAAAGAATCTTTTAATTTTTTATGGTAATGGATGCTACCTAAGTATGAATGAGAAATAGAATATAATAATTTTAATGCAAATGGATTTTTTCAGATGAAGGGCACTGCACAAAAAGTAGAATGGCAGTGCTGTAAATATTCTGCCTGTGGTACGTTGACTTACCATTAATTACTGACACGTAGGCTAGTTGTTGTCAGGAAATACCTGTATTTTTTCAATTAAGCAATGCTTTTACACTTTCAAATCAACTTCTGTTCTTTCAGTGCTATTGGAAATTTGAAAATTGCTGAAGTTGATCCAGGTGGTCATTTTGTAAAGATCCTGAACTGTGCCTCTGAAAAAGAGGAAAGCATTGGGGATTATCTCTTGAAGCAGGACGTCCAAGGTCAACCAGTGGCTGTATTTCAGTTTCCCACCGAGACCAGGATGGGGCCCAACTCCACCGTGACAGTGAGTGTGGGGGGTTTGAGTGCCGTTTCTCAGCTGGCAGACTAGGGTACACTCTTAGCCTGATGGTATAGAGTCAAACTTAAGTCTGTATTTTCAGAAAGGCTAACACTCACTAATAATGATGAATCCAGAAGAAGCTGCTAATGTCCATCATCAGTAGAAGCCTGGCATTTGCATGACATGTCCAGCATTTGCTGGACATGTTGCCCAGCAATGGGAAGCTATCCTGGAAAGTCCTTGTTTGATACATTCCTTTTTCCAATCATTGCTCCCATAAAATGCTCCTCATACTGTCAGAATATTGAGTTGTGCCAGTGTTTGCCAACAGAGGGTGTGAACCTTGGCTCGGAAACCCACAAATAACAGAACTGGAAAGAAAATGCCTTGGATGACTTTAGGCAAAATGATGACACTCTGTGCCTTAGTTTCCTATTCTGTAAAAGAAAGACAATTATGTGTTCTCCTTTGATGTTGTGCCAGAACTATACGTTAAAAATTCAGTGCATGGGCTGCTGCTCTTCAAAAATTACTTCTCCTCCAGCTAGTTCAGATGTATCTTTCTGCCACTTTGAATAAGAGTTAGAGAGGTAGGTAGGATCTAAGCTGCAAAGAGTCAGATGACTTTGTCATACTCCAGAAAAGCTTTAAATAGAAAGCAACAAATATATGCATCTGATATCCATGGTAATGAAAAAGGCCTGAACAAGTGAACTAAATGTGACCAAGGCTCAGTTGTAGGTGTAGCTGAGGAACGTCTGCTGGTGTCTGCACGCGGCCTCCAGCAACCTCTGGGATGCACCCACACTCAGAGCGGGCACAGCCTTTGCTGTACAGGGTAAAGATGCTGGCTGCTTGGCTGGCTGCAAGACACCTTGCAGATCTCCCCAGAAATGGTTTCCTCTTAGTTGGCTTTGATGCGCCAACCATTCCCACCCACCCCAAAAGTAGTCCTTTCTGAAGTGCTCTGAGCCATGCTGAAGTCATTGACAAGGTTGTTGTTCCCATTATCGTTAAAGGGCTCTTGGGTGAACAACTGAGTGAGGTAGAAGGTCCACCACAGCTTCTGTTTCAGCATACGCAAGCAGAAAATTTCTGCTGGTTTATTAATTTCAAAGGGTCCTATTCAGGCTGCCAACTCTTGCATCCAAAATTCATGTACAACAGTGCCTGTGTCAGACAGCCAACTAGGGAGGACTTCCAGGCCCCAGCTCCCTGTGAGAGCAACAGATGAACCAAGGCAAAAAGTTAGATGCCAGTGTAGATGGTTGGAATATGGCCTGAGGCCTCTTTTACCACCAGTGCTTGTTTCTTTTTCTGAGATGAAAATTGAGGCCTCGCAGAATAAAAGGAGGCAAAGTCCATGTTCATCACCACGCTTAATGCAGGTCAATGCAGCCCTGCATGAGCCCTCTTACAAGAAAGCTGGAAATGCAAGCTGGCAGGGGCCCAGAAGAGCCACAGACAGTGCTGTCTTCTGGTGTATGTGTGAAAAAGCCACAAATACCCCTTAGCAGAGTGCCGTATGGTGAGCACTTTTGGAAGAGAACATTCTATTTTTTTCCGGATACTTTTCCTTTAAAATTGAATAAGAATTGTTTTGGCTCCCAGGAAATGGTTGAAGCCATTTTCTCACAGATGGCAAACGCCAAATCCTTTAGGAACACCATTTGCAAAAGAGTGTTGTGGTTGTCTTATGTAAGAGAAATGTTTTCATAACAGGTCCTTTTGCTGCTGCGTTAGTGATAAAGGTCACAGATAATTGTGTTCACTTTATAAAGCACAATGTTGTTAAATCTTTTGTATAAGGATAAAAGTACAAAAAATTTCTAGTCTCCAGTAGAGACAGCTTCTCCCTGAACAGAGGGAATCCAGAATCAAGCAGAGACTGGAATTTTAAAGCTGGTATCACAGATCTCTTCCAATGCCCCTGGTAATTCAGAAAATAAAAGAAACTGCCTATTTTTAATCTTACTCTCAGCAAGCCAGACCAAAAAGCTCAGGATTTACTATCACACCTTGAAAAATGTGCCTTTGCTAATCTCTCTTAATCCATAGGAGAGGTACTTGAAAATAATCACTATAACTAAGCTGTGAGTCTTGAAATATAGTTCTTTCAGCTTTGATTTCACAGATCAAATAGTGACCGGTGTTACAAAAATCAAAAGGAAAGGGAAAACCTGATGTTTTTACTGAGTTCTAAAATTGTATAAATATCCAGGAGCCATTTTGCCTTTAATCTAATGGCTGCTTGATCTTTGCAGGTTTGGGCAGCAGATTCTACAGCACTTCACAAACCTCCCTCAAATTTTCTTTGGAAGGACCTGGAGAGATTTAGGACAAGCCTTGACTGTGCTACCATTCTCTGTGAGCCTAGCGGTCAAGTGAGTGCCTTGAGCAAAATCACTGCGTTTCCTTACCCAGACTGCTCTATCGCTGACTTCCTTCAGAGATTTAGGATCATGTTGTTAAAGTCCTTGTAGAATCAAGCACAAGCAATCCAAACACAGCAAAGCTGTGATCTCTCTGTGTTAACCTTGCTTCAGTGCAGATGTTAATTATTGGGATCTGAAGGACTGAAGAAAACCAGCAGATTGATGACACCACTCGTTGAATGAAAGGCTAACATCCTCACAGCAACTGAAGCAGGGGCTCCACAAGTGTGAATTGCCAGCCCACTGTCCTCTGCCACTGTGTTTCAGCCATGAAAGATCCAGCTATGCCCAGGGCTGCCCATCAGTAACTGCCATCAGCTTGGCAACTGTATTGAATATGTCTAGGCAAACTTCTGTTGACTTGGGGATGAGAAGGAGCCCGAGATCACTTTTTACCCTATAGTTGTCCAGTGGCAACTATGGGTTTGGTAATTTCTAGCTAGACAAACTCGAACTAGTGACAATATGGAAAAGACCTGTAATTTTCATACAGTGTAAGTTATACAGCTTCCCCAAGGTAGCATAATTTACCCCTTACAAACTGTTAAGTGAATGTTGACTTTTGGTCTCACCTTTTCACATTTACTCCTCTTCTAGCTCAGTTTGGCCATACTTGCTATTACATCAGTGCCAGGGAATCAGAGGCTGAAAGGGAACTTGAGACGTGATTACCTCCGCCAGGATTGCTCCTGGCTGTGGCTTACCTAGGTAGTTCTGGAAGAACTTCAGTAACGGAGACTCCACCATGTCCCCAGGCAATCTGCTTTAGTGCCTCACTCTCTGTATGCTTAGAAAAGCTTTCCTAGTGCCTAAACTGAACTTTTTCTGCCTCAGTTTTAGTTCTTTCCTTCTTGTCCTATCCACTGTGGCCATGGAGAACAGATTGCTTTTTCTTCCTTCAGCAGCCTTTGACATACTTTCAAAATTGTCATGTCCTCTTTTCTCTCCTTCTTTGTCTGGTTTACTTAATTGGAGCAGTGGAATTTCAAGGTTCTTAGATGATGAATCTACCCTAAATATATTTAAAGACTGGAAATGGATTTTAAAGACCAAAGAAAAAAATCATTAATTCGGTGGTTGCCATTAGTATTTATCTTTCAAATGATAGATGACTCAGAAATACATTGGAGCACCTACCCTTTTAGCCCTTCCTGGTTTGTCTACAACAAACAATTATCTTGATGAAAAAACGCAGAATATAAACAAGCAGTGGTATGTTGGTTTTTTTCAGGCTGTGGCTTGGTACACTCCTCTCTACTGGAACAGAAGGCAAGGATGGGTGGCAAATGAGCAAAGTGAAAACATTGAGAACATGGTTATATCAACTTTCTCAACAATAAAGCAAAAAGAGGGATGGGAAAAGGAACAGCAATTCACAATAACTGATACAGAGTGGAAGAGGGCTGACCCAGGGCAAACAGGAAGAAAAAGACAAAGCTTCATTAAAAGGTATCTGATGTTCATTGAGTGTACTCTGTAATTACAGCATTGTGCCAGACTGTCTCTGTAACTGAACGCTTTTAAATGAGCATCTTGGTAAGCAATTTTTGCAAAGTTTTGGAATTTTGAAAATAAGAATTAACCTTAACCTTCAAACGGGAATCCAGACCAAAACTCCTGATAGGAGTGCATTCATTGCCAGTCAAGACTAAGTGGAAAGTGAAATTCAAGTAAAATTCTTCTTAAAATGTGACTTATTATTACATATTATCCTTTCAGCCCCAAGAGTTTGGATGGCACCGTTCCAAGTCCATGAGCTGGAAAGCTTTCAGCCAAAAATGTTGATGTTCATGGAGCTATTTACCTTTTTCTTGAGAACAAAGGCCTGAACGTGGTCTTCTCTCAGACCACTGCACTTTGAACTGAGCTAGGGACTGGTAACCATTGCTTTCTAAATTACTTCAGAACTATCTTCTAACCTTTGTATCAACTTAAACTTGGCAGCACTATGAAAAAGTGTGGTTCATTGGTCTAGCTGTGGACAGTGTAGTTTGGGCACCCAGGTCTCAGTCAGGAACGCCTGAGCTGAGCCATTGACTGTTTTGAATAAGGAATGCAATGTTGGTGGTTTTTTCCTAAGTCCCCTCCAGAATGTTGGTTCCAGGCACGTTTGAGCGAGGTTCACAATAGAAAAGCATGTGCGGAGGAATTGATGTATTTCAAAAATAAAGGATTAGCCAATCTGGATGTATTTTCACAAAAAAAGTGTGTCACCCTTCTCATGTTTGGGGTAATTGCTCTTCTCTAAATTTCTTCTCCAGACTGTGGCTGGAGATGCTCAGAAGATAAACAGTTTTCAGCATAGGTTAAACTGGCTGTTCTTCGCAAGCTTTGTTCTTAAAAATTACTAAAATCACTTTTGCTCAAACTCTCCAAAGAAACTAAGTCAGAAGCAGGGAGAAATTATGTAAAAAATCAGTGCAAAGAGTTCAAGTCTGGCAGAATTATAACCAATGGCAAATGGTAAATTATAATGTGATATGTCAAACAATATAGAAGTTGCAGTTCTTCCACCTACAGCTAAATGCAGAATGTGTCAAATATATGTGTGCTGTTTGTTAGGTATATCGCATAAATTTAATGTATGTATGCAGTAAACACAGTAAATCTATGCAAAATACATTATAAATATGATAATGCAATACAATAAATAATGCAGTAATAAATACAACATACATATTTTTATACCCTGTGCACATACATGCATGTGCAAAATGTGTGAAATACACACAGTAAAATTAATTCAATTTCTATTTACAGGGAAAAAAAGACCTCTGCATCCCTTTTCCCTAATCAGAGTGCCTGGTGCCAAAGTCCAAACTCTCCCATGCACCCTCACTTTTCTCTGGTTAGACCATTAACCATGGGGAATGACGGCAGCAGTTTGTGCAGGCAGTCCCGGTGTCAGTCATCACGGCCTGACCCCGTGCCAGGTGAGTTCAACAGCAGATGCAGTGTATGCTGTAGCATGCACAGTGGCAACGGGGTGGATTTTCTGACACAAATAGCTTAGGACTTAAAATACATATACATTACCAGCTCTTACTTCTGTAGCAGTGGTCTGCAAACTTTTTAAATTGTGCACCCCTATCATTAAAAAACTTTTGAACATGCACTCCCAATATAGGTACATTTATTTATTTGTAAATTACATACTTTTACTACTGCAATAATATATTATGTACATTATAAAATGTGCACACGAATAGAAGCTTAAAAGGATGAGATAAAGATGAAAATATACTATTTTTAAAGTATTTTTAAATTTAATTTTATTTATTAATATTACAAAAATATTTTCTTCCCGCACCCCAATGGATTGTCTTGCGGTCCCACTGGGAGACCACTGCTCTGTAGAGCTGCATATGTTGCTAAGATGTGAGGAGGCTATTGTTACTAATACTGATGCATTTAGGAAATGAAACAAAATATTAGGAATCAATAAGAGAAAGAGACTCTTATATTGGCTGTGAACTGTTAATTAGGCAGTGGTGAGAAAGTCAGTGTGTAATTCAGGTACACAAACCCAAAAAGGTGTTGAGACACTGGAAAGAGTTCAGGGGAGGATGACAGAGTGAAAAAGCATCTGAATAGATTGATTCATGAAGATTAAAAAGAGATAAATGTGTGTTGGACAAGCAAGGTGATCATTGTGTGAGGGGGTTCAAGCATCACAGCAAGAGAGGAAACAGTCTTAGATCCAGGAAACAGAACTAGAAGGAATAGGACCAAGTGAAACACAGGAAGGCTTAGGTTGAATATGTAAATAAAAAGGAATTTTAATGATCCATAATGTAGTCTTCCAGTTCTGCTCGTTGCTCCACTTAATGTTTTAAACCACTGGCAAGTTTTAAGTGCCCAGCTGCCATTAATTTTTAAGCAGCTAGGTATCCAGCTCCTGAAGACAGCTTTGTAACACTCGTTCTTTCTTTAGTGAACATTTAAAACCAGACTGGTCAAATTATTTCAATATACTAAGGAGGTCACCCTGTGACTGGCGTGGATAGATGACTGCGCAGTTGTCAGGAGTTTTTTCCCATTTCTAGGAGTGCCAGCCTGGGAAAAACCTTTCAGCTTGGGCCAGGAAAGTATTGATGCACCTGCTTAGCTTTACACACCCAAATAGTAATCCTGCAGCCAGGGAGGACTGTCAGGAAGATCCTTCTCAACTGTTAAATCCAGGAAAAGCAGATTAAAACCTGATGGAGTCAGTTGTAATAGACCTAATTTCATGGTTTGTTTCCTGCTCTGTCTTAATCACTGGTAGCATCAGCTACCGGGTGTCTATTTTGTGTTATCAGGGTTTGTCTAATTTGCTAGAACTTAGTTTGTCTTGTTCTGTGTCACTCTGGTCTTCTGCAGAGCCGGGTCCCCTATATCTGTTCTGCTAGTTTCCTGGACAGGGAAAAGCTGGGAACAGAAAGGGAATTGGCACCTGCCAACTGGGGGTGCTGGTGGCATCAGAGGTGGTGTTCACCTGAGCAAATGCTGTGGACAAATAGGAGGTGGTCTGTAGAGCAAACCCCTTGGTGCTGCAGACCTGGCATCCACCCTGTACACATTTCAAAGGTGATTTACTTTGTCCCACCTCTAGGCTGGTACAACAGGCCATGAGAGGGCACCTACCTCTGCACGGTGTGGAGGGTACTCCTTTTTGGGTATGAAACTTCCCAGGCTGTTGTGTAGCCCACTCATGCTCACCACTGGTCTGCACAAAGCAGTTTCTGTTTGAATACCCACTTGCAGGCAGAGTGCTTGAGGTTTGACTCCGGAGGACATCTTCTGGCTCAGTTTTATTGAGGAAGCCAGCTTGTGCACTTGATAGTGCTCCGTGATGTGAACCTCAGCACAGCAAGTGGCAACTCTGCTCCACGGGTGCGCTCTTCTTCGAACCCGAAGCGCTATGGACACACCTAGGACATCCCTCAGTAGTTCTCCCAAGCCAAAGGGAGTTTGCTGCATGCAGTCCTCTCTCCTACATTCCCATCTTTTGTCACATCTCCGCAGATGGAGGTCAGTGCTGTTGCCACAAGCTACATTTAGTTTCAGTTTTCAAGATTTTTTCCTTGCAACTGTTAAGACTAAGAACTTTTTCAAAAAAGCAAGCAATATGAAAACAAAACAAAACAACCCTGAGACTGTAACACAATTGCGTTGTTCCAGGACCCAGGGCTGCAGGCACAGAGAGAGGGCCTGCCTGCAAATCTATTTCCTGAGTGTGGGAACTCTGAAGGCAGAAGTCAAAGCAAGGTGGTCTGCCACGCACTAAATATATCTGATTTTCTGTAGGTTTTCACAGGCAACCTGCATAGCCTCAGTCTCTCTTTCTCAGATCTTTGCAAAAGATAATTCAGCTCTATTTACTTATGGTTCATTTGCAGTTCTTTTCACTACTGAATTATGAAATTATTCCTTTTAATACTGCCAGGAAAGTTAATAATATCCAAGATCTCAGATTAAAAATTAAATATGGGTATAACCATTATTTTCCTCTGATAAATATTCATGTGTAGTACATATTACTGCTGAATTTTTCCAGAAATGAATATAGAGAGAGATGTAAGCATCATTCTTATTTTATTACAATGCAAAAATTACAAGTGCTTTAGGCAGATTTATACAGGTATGCCGCTAGACATTATTACTGATGGTGATGGAATGATGATTTTGAAATGTACGACTACTTTCTTTTTTTCTTTTTTATTTTTCTTTTCTTGCTTAAAAATTTTTAACTAGCAGGCTTATAACTGACATGAACCACTGGGGTCCACAGTAATATGCATAAATGCAGTCTTGCTTAGGTCCTGGTCCAAGAAAGCTTCCCTATTCAGTAAGGACTCTTGAACTTGTTCATAAATGCTTCATAATATCAGAGACTTACAGAAATCAGTATTGTTAACTTATTTGTTTTCTTTCGCAAACACATTTTTGATCACTATTATCTTTAAATATGGGTAGTTATTTTCCTAATGCCATAATACAGCAAAGTTAGGTCAATGGCTTTGAATTGAATTAGTGAGTCAAAATATTTTTGCATTTTCCTCTTAGATACTTAGTTTTGCTTTTCAAAATCAGTTTAGTATACGCTCATATTTCAGAAGTGCAAAGGTCCACTCAAAACTGCAAAGAGATGGGCCTCGCAGATTATACTGTTTGATGGTATTTGCCTAAAGCACTTAGTTTCTCATACGTCTGTTGTATCCTTTCTAGCTCCTAGCTCTCCTTGATAATAATCAATAATCAAACATTATCTTTTCAGTGTCTTTTGGGGGGATGTTAATAGCAGCAGTCCACAATATTCCAGTACAGAACGAAGTGTGTTTAGTGGCATGATGCTGTTTTGAGAACTGTTTGCCTCTCCTCTCCTCATGCAGCTTAGCATTTTACCTTTCTAGCTGCTACCGAACAGGATTTTCACTACCCAGTTCCAGTGACTCCTGTGGCTTTACTTTTGAGACTTTGCAGTTGATAAGACGATGGTAGGGGGTGTGGTGGCTGTTCCTTTCAGCACATACCCATCCATATGAAATTTTAACTGGCACCTTACCTTTTGTTCACTTTGCCTTCTGAGTCTCTCCTGAAGCTCTTGGGACAGTGTTCTTTGGTGGTCACAACAAAAGACCTCACAAGTTATCTAAAAATGGTTTCACTTCATTTCTCGCTATCTTTACTTTATAGTCTTTCTTATTAATTGTTGAACTGTCTGTTTGGTTTCCTCTTCACCCAAGTATCCCCATTTTCTTCTCAGACTGAGAGATAGGAGGGGAAAAGCTGCTACTGCCATAGGTCACAAAGTTCGAGCTGAGCTCCTACCTCCCATTTTCCTCAGAAACGCATCACTCTGGTGATGGCATTTTTTTCTTGTTGTTGTTGATGAATTTCACTCTGAATCAAAATGCTCAGCTGTGAATTTTGCAAGGAGTTTAAAAATAACCGTGGAGCGTATTGTGAAGCAAGCACTTTGAAGCCTCAGCCAAAACCAACGAGTTTTGTCAATCAGAATGTTTCCCCGTTGCTGAGGAACATTAATTAAGCTTTCAGTGGCAAATTGAACCTGCAGACAAGGAACATATTTAGCACACATTTTCAGTGAAAAGGAGCCAATTCCTACCACCGTCTTCTCGAGCAAGTGGATCAAACCTGTTGGCTTTCTGTTCTTCCCACTAGTTCTTATGGGTTTTGTCCCAAAAGTTGGGAGTCAAATGAGATGAGATGCACTCATATCATGATGCATTTGCTTTCTTGACTTGTCCCAAGGACTTCCATAGTCTACAGGACTGCCCATGTAATTTCCAGTTAGCAGTGAGAAATGTTTGCAGATTCATCTCTTTTCTCATAGGGCACTGACACATTATGGACAAGAGCAAGCAATTACATTGGCTGTTACAAATTATGTTATACAAACACACAGATGCACTTTTTGAGTAGAAAGAGGTCAAACAAGATATTACAGTGATATCCCATGGTAAGGAACTAAGTCAGCTGCTTTCTCCAGTAGATCAATTGACCAGTGCAGATCAATGAACTGTTCCTATCATTACTAAGACACAAAGCGAAGCATCTCAGGTTGCTCAACACAGTGTCATTCACTCTGGCTGACAGCCAGGTGTTCCAGTAGTCTGCACCTTTGCGTGCGTTTATGTGCCCTCTGCCAGCTTAAGTTCTTCTGTAGCCTTCAAAACCTTAATATAACTTTTCAGTTTGTCACTGATGCAAATTATTTATCTGGAATTCCAAGGTTCTGCAGTGCTGAGGAAGAGGATGTTCCAGTAAAGGAGACCACCCTGGTGGCAGAAAGCTATCAAAATATCCTGACTTCATTTATTAGGTACCAAATGCTGTACCATCATTTTATGAGAAACACAGTAATTCTGGTTTCTTTATTACTGCTTTCTCAGACGTGATATCTTATGACCTGACATTGCGTTTCCCTACCTGCCAGGCAGGATGCCAGTCTGTCAAAATAATTTCCTTATCTATTTGTTGTTTACTGCTTAAAAACCACTGATGCAATGTGCATTTGTGTATTTTTGGTGCTCCAGGAAAAAAACCAACAGGTTATCCTGACCTAGAATTTTGGAGGAGGGAAAAACGTGGGAAAATCAAGGGGATAAATAATAATTCTCTGTGGCCAAATATGGAAATTGTGAAAGGAATTAAAGATCATTGCCCACGCCTTCAAATAATATGAACAAGCACAGCTCTTTCAACTCACCTCCTTCCATCATGGTCAAATAAATTACATTATGAATACTTCAGCACCACTGAAAACAAATCGAAGGTTTATCCATGGTTCTGTTGAGAGAGAGAGGAGGTGGCGTTCGATAAGAGGCTTTCTTAAGACTGTAGGAAACCCAAATACCTCTGCCACTTTTGATGTGGGTGACCAGAGGTGACGGTAGGGTGTGTGTAGCAGGCTCTCCTGTGAACTGCTTCAGAAAGTCAGTAGCACCGACCTGCTTGGTGTTCATTAGCATCACTTACCAGACAAAACATCGTCACCATGCTGAGATGTGCGAACACATTTGGCACTTGCAAACTCCGCTTGCCACTGAGAGGAAAATCTGGAGAGCTGCAATGCCTTTGAGATGTGAACATTTGCAAGCACACAAGTCCCCTGGAAATATCAGCAGAGCTGTCTGAATGAAAAGTACATTTATTGTCCTTTGCTTCTCTTGCAAGCTGATCGCGATGGGGAAACTGTGGTTGCAAGTGTCAAGTTGGCCTGTGAAAAAACAATTCTCTCCTGGATAATTTTGGCAGAACAACCTGACCTTCAAGTAACCATGACTAAGGATGGCTCTTTATCTTCTTGTCGCCCATTACAGCATACAGTCTGTGACTGAGTCATATAATGGAGTGATAAAATGAAGTCCAGAGATTCACTTCTGAAAATTGCTCTCATGTAATAACAATACCCAACACTTATGAAATCTCCAAGTGATCTTGCTTAAAGGTGGTGTTCATGTCAGTAGAAATGTGGAGTCATTTAAAAGCTGATTCTATGGTAAAAGTATGTCAGGGTCTGAGATTAGGTTTGAACGCAGCTCAAGGAACTGACAGAAATCCAGGGTCAAGGAGTGAAAAAGCTTGTTCCCTCCCTGCCAA